TGAAGCAACTGAATGGACAAATCCATGAAGATATCTTTCATTTTCCCTGACAGTGAATGATGTTTCCATATATAAACATAATAATAGAGTCATTACATATGCACTCACATTATCATAGCTGCTGTGTGCTCAGTGTTATTCAAAACAAGGCAGGAAGCCAAATCTTCCTAGTTCCCATTTTGATTCAAATTGTATTTGTAATAAAGGGAATTTCATTCAACCTAAATGCAGTTTCATCCTAGTCCAACAAACCTCCCCGCTTCTTTTTTTATTATTATTATTTTTCCTTTATTCTAGGTCACTCAGTCTTGATACAAGTGAAATTTTCCTCTGGTGGTGATAACAGCAGTGCTACTCAATGAACTATAACAGGGGCTCTAAATGCATCTCCTGTAGCATACCACAGTGATTTGCAAAAGTGGGAATAAATCAAAGCACTGAAGAGATGCCATGTTGAGCCAGAAGCTAAATGTTACATCTTGTTGCATGAGGCTGGGGAGAGAACAGATCCTGTTCTTCTGGCAGCACAATATCTTTGTGCTTGTTACCTCCGATCCAACCCCATTAAAACAATCATTCAGAATCTGCAGGAAATTGTCACCTCTTTCTTTCATGCAATGGCAGCTGGTACTGGTGCCTACACACATTTCTCATTTCCTTCAAGATTTTCAACACACATTTAAAAAAAAGAAGCTTAATTTATATTAAAAAATGTGTCAGCTTACCCTGAGGCTCAGCACGGGCACCAGGGGAAAAAATAAAAGATAAATGCCTCTAGGTGAAGTGGCAGAGGCTCTAATTCCCTACTCACTCTACTGCTGCACAGTCTGCACCGCATTAATCATTTCACATAGGCAGGCATTTAAAAAAACTTCAACAATTTTAAAACAAAAATGCATTGCCCTAAACTTAATAATAATACAACTGTATCTTGTAGAACAATCTCAGTTCACACATAGTGTATCCCCTAACAGAAGATATATAAAATAATATTGGAGTCTTCTGTGACATAATTTTTATTGTTCTGTTTCTTTTGTCTATAGTTATTTCTCCTCTAGTGGGTATTTTTGTGTGTGTGGATAAGTGTACATATATAATGCTGTCATTTGTTTTATTCAAGTGCTGACTTGCACGGGGTGTTTTCTACCTCTGTTTTTATTGTCTGGCTGGATAAATGCATTCTGTGATCCTAGTGAACTCTGTTATGCCTCAGTTTGACTCAAATATAGTTTTTCTTTAACCTTCAGTGCTGGCATATAGCGAAAGATTTTTTCTCCCTTTTGTAGCTTATGGAAATGTTGCATGATGGGGAGGGAGTGGATGACCAACAATCAAATGAGGAAGTGGTGGACTGGGGTGTCAATAAACTGTGTGGGTTGATGTGAACATGTCACATCAACATGTGAACATGTCACAACAAAAAAAGCAGAGCAGAAAGGGGCCTACTCCAAAGGTATCCACACAAATAAGGAAGTACCTACAGAAAAGCAGGATGAGGGAAGTTATAACACCTCTTCTGGAAAACTCACATGACTAGATGCCTTCCTGTAGTGCTTGTACACTCACACACATGGCATGGAGAGGACATAGGAGGAATTCAATGCTTAGAAGTATCCCATGCAATATGGTCCTAGAGAGAAGGGAGGTCCTGGAGAATTTGAGGATTTTCAAGAATCACCTTCTCCAAGTTCAAAAATGATCACTCTTGCTGTGGACTAAGTCAATCAAAGGAGGTAGGAGGCCTGTATGGCTGAAAAAAATCCCTCCTGACAGAACTGAAGCACAAAAGGGGGCATATGAGAGGTGGACAAAGGACAGGTGATGCAGGGAATGTGCAGACAATGAATGTGCAGGGATGGTGCCAGGGAAACCAAAGCTCACTGGGAATTGAATCTGGTGAGAGAAGTTGAAGGGCAAGAAGACCTGCTATGCATACATGAATAGCAAAAAGGAGACTAGGAAAATGTTGATTTGCTGCTCAGTGGGCTGGGGGACTTGGTGCCCAATTCCATGGAGAAAGGTAGAGGTACTCAATACCTTTTTCACCTCAGTCTTTACAGGTAAGACTGACCTTCAGAGATCCCTGGCTTCTGAGGCAAGTGGGAAGATCTGAAGCAATACACACCCTCAATGAAAGAAAATCAAATTAAGGAGATTTTACACAAGTCTGTGGGAACTGATAGGATGCATCTGCAAGTGCTGAGGGAGCTGGCGATTCTTTATTTTTAAATAGTCATGGTGACTGGAGGAGGTTCCTGAGGACTGGAAATGTCACTCTTCTCATCACAGATCAACTCTGAGCAAGAGGTTTGGAGTAGATGCCAGGGGTGCCTTCCCACCTCAGTCACTCTGTCATAAAACCTTTTTTCACAGTTTCAATTGCATGTCTTGGCAGATCCATTTGCTGAGTGCAGAACTTCCTGCAGTCTCCTTAATGTATTAAACGTGAGTACATATCAGCCTTTGGCTTGCACAGCCACCATCACTATGGAAATGACAGGTTTAAATGGTGCATAGTTTGGTAGGGCAAAAGAAATTTGTTGGACAGTGTGTATATAAATGGTACTACTACAGCACAAAAGGTCATGTGGACGCGGATGTGTGCGCAGTGGGAGACTATAGGAGGGTAAAATCAGAACACCAGGAAGGAAAATGCTTTCAATGAGCATGATGTAAACAGCATCAATGTATTGTGTACATACACAACACTGAAGTACGATTCTAAATGTCCATTTTACTCATGTCTTTTTCTTCAAAGGTTACCGGTTTGTGCTTGTTTTTACACAGATGTAGAGAGAATCACAACATCATTAAGTAAGCAATGGGGAATTGGCCTTTCAGTTCTTTGAAGGAAAGGCTAAGGAAGGGGTCCAAATCTTTAGCTGGCATAGGATGTCATTTTTCCACTGAAGTCAATGCCCCTATTTCAATTTATGACTTAATGTCTGGCCTGAATGCTGCAAAATGACAGGAGAAGGTGACAAAAAAATGTCCAGTTTGGTAATGCATATTATATTAGTAAGAAGTATGGCCTAGAAACTTGCTTTGTTATAGTGAAACTGAACTCCTCTTGGATCAGCTGATGAATATGAGTTGCACGTCCTTTGCAGGATCTTTGAGAGAGTCTTGGGTCCACAGAAGAATACACCAATGCTGTTGCTGTAATCATAATAACAAAAAAAACATGAGAGTAGCAGATGCCTCCAGCTTTGCATCTTTTGAAATGGCATTTGAAAGTTTTGTGTTACTGTATACTTTGTGTTATATATTGTATAACATGTGTCACTATATTACAGTATAATTACTTTAATACTTTAGTGTTTATAATGTCTTACTACATTATTTATTAGAATTGCTACCTTAGAGGTCCCAAACTATTTTAAATGGTAGCTCTTTGGTTTTTATCTTCATAGCTTTTTTTTTAATCCGAGAAGCAAACACTCTGCTTGGGCTGAAAATTTAAAATGGTTTTTTTTTTTCCAGCTGAGTTACTTTTTTTTTCTAAAAAGTACACAAAATGCTCAATTGCTTCTGAGTTTTCTTCTCCCTCACACTCCCCAGTTTAATGTTTTTCTACCCATGGACAATTTTCAAATGGCTGATTTAATAACATTTGTAAATAAGTACTTATAAAATAAGACCATGACTGATGTAACAAACATTTGTGTTCATATACACGAGTGTTACAGGGAGCTGGTAACCTGGTTACTTGCCACAAACTGCCATAAAGAGTTTGCTTCCAAGTACACTACACATATTGTTTTGGAAAGAAAAACACCCAACATATATATATATATATATATATATATGTAGACCCAGATTCACACATGGTATGCGCCAATGTGGAAAGCTCACTCTACATAAATAGCAAATAGCATGAGTTTCAAAACGTTTGCTCCTGTAAAGAAGGGGCTTGCAGATATGATTTTGGTGCACAAGATATAGTCCCCAGAAGTAGTGCCCATTTTTTTCTGGTGCTTGATTGCACTAGTTTTAACCTGGAGTTGTATATTCCTGCTAATCTGCTAAAAGACACTGTTGCAGCCAAGGGGAACTCTGTTGACCTAGGTGCAGGGGCACAAAATTTAGTCAGTTCATAAAAACTGTTCCACCACACAGTAGAAGCTCTTGAGTTTCTTTGACTCTTAATGTTCCATAACTTAGAGGAAGAAAAGGTAGGGTATTTTTTTCTCATAAGGAATCCTAATTTCATGCAAGATATTCTTTCACAGGTTCAACATTGACCATAAACAGGGGCATCTAGGTTCAGAACCAAACGCAGATTTTTCTGTCACTTTAGCACTGGCTTTCTAAGGCAGTACTTCAAGATCTAGTATGGAAAGCTAATGGCCATCTCACCCTTGAGCATCAGAAGACTATTTTTATCTCATCTGTACTTAACAAAAGTAACTAACAAAAAGTAATGATTCTACTATAATTTTAAAAGTTCCATCCCTATAAAAGGTCTTTCAAAGTCATATTTGCTACTCTTGGCCTTTTTCTGGTTTTAATCTTTCATATTTCCTGATTGTATTTACTTCGACCTCTGTCAAGTGGTTTCTCTATTACTGTTATTTTTGCAATTTTATGGTATTCTTGTAGCTTACTGTAGTTTCTTTGATCTCCTCCCTTTCAGCTTTTTCTTGGGTCTTTTTCATCTTTTAAAAAAAGTTTTCTCCTTTTTGTATCTCTGTCTCCCAAGTACAAGCCTTTATTTTGCATTAGCAGGTAAATGTTTGGAAATCATAAAGAATGACAAAGATTCTGGAATTTTCTGCTGCTGAACACAAAATATTTCAAATTCTTGCTTCAAAGGCTTTCAGGAACAAAGAAGCTTTTCTCAGACCACTAGCAAATCCACCAAGTTCAAATGAACTGTCTTTGCCAGCAGAGATGAACTAATAACAGAACAGCATAGTCTTGCAAGAGTAGCCAAATATGTTAGGGGAACAAACATATCCTTGACATCATAAGAAAAAAATCACAGTTTATCTCTTTAATAACCATCTTCAAGGGAAATTAATGCTACTTTGTCCTTTGTGCAGAACAGTAATTGGATTGTGTGTTTCAATTATATCTGGACAAAGGCCAGGATATTGAAATACTTCTAAATATTAGATTTTCTTGTCCAAAAATTAGATTTTATTGGCATTCTCTTTCCGAGATTTCTTCATTAAAAGCTTCATTAAGTATAAATCTTCTTTCCACACAGCAAAAAAAAAGAAGAAATTATTTTAAAAGGGTCATTTGGAAAGGTTTGCTCTCCCCTCCTCCTGCTGTTTATGCTGAGAGAAGAGTTACCTAACAAGGTTAGAAACCAGCCTGCCTTACCTAGGATGGTTTTCGGCTAGTTGCTTGAACTCTTTGTCCCAGTTTGGCCTTCCATAACAGGTTTTCTGTCTCAAACCAGTAATTACATCCATCTTGTCATCACAATGTAGGGCTATGTGGATAGCCTAAAGGCAAATTTACAAGATAATCATTTTAGAATCACAACAACATACGCTCCAAGTAAGAGGAGAAAGCAACGATGCTGGTTCACCTGAAAGATGGAATGAGGGAATGGAAACTGTGTAATTATCAAATGGTAGGAGGGAAGAGGAGTAGTCGAGAGTTCACAATATTACTGGAATTGTAAAAAGCACTTCCAAAGGACCCAAGACCTCAGGAGGAGTTCAGTTTCTTGATATGGAATATTTGAAATGAGTTGGGATAATATACCCGTTCTTACTGACCTGGGACTAGGTGCCTCAGTCACTTTTACAAGTAGGTCTTAGATTTCCAAACCTCAGCCTTTGAAAATCCCGCCCTACACTTCCTTCATTGCAGTTCCTGAAGTGACAGTCACCATTTTAAGGCCATGTTGGAGTTTAGGAAAGAGAGCAAAGTGTACTGTAACAGAGTTGGACAATAAAAATTAGCAATTGCATGCACATTAAGTAACTCCAGACCATTCTGCTGCCAATGGAAAAGAGAGTGGATGTATCAGCTCAGCAGGGGTAAAAGCAGGGGTCCAGCAGAGGGCCACAAAGATGATTTGGAGTCTGGAGCATCTCTCTTATGAGGAAAGACTGCTGGAGTTGGGCCTGTTTAGTCTAGAGAAGAGAAGACTGAGGGGGGATCTCATTAATGCATATAAATATCTCAAAGGCAGGTGTCAGGAGGATGGTGCCAGGCGACAGGAGAAGGAGCAATGACCTTAAACTAAAACACAAGAAGTTCCACCTCAACATAAGGAAGAACTTCTTTACATTGAGGGTGGCAGAACACTGGAGCAGGCTGACCATGGAGATTGTGGTGTCTCCCTCTCTGGAGACATTCAAAACCAACTTGGATGCATTCATGCATAACCTGCTGTAGGTGACCCTGCCTTGACAGGGGTTAGATGAGATGATCTCCAGAGGTCTCTTCCAACCTTAACAATTATGTGATTATGTGTAAAACCCTGAACATTTTTACTTTTCTCCTCGGGTGGATGCAGGTACAGAAAGTGGGTCAGCTCAGGTGAAACACTGAACTAAGTGAGTTGCACAGCTGCCAGTGCCAAGAAAAAAAAAATCCTGATTTTCATGGACATTCACTGTCCTTCAGCTCCTAAACTACACCCATTGTGATGCTGAGTATTTTACAGATGCTTTTAAAAACAAAAATCACCGTCACTCCTAATTGTACTGCTATTATGTAGGAGTAATACGCTTGTTTTCACTACAGACTATCATCATTACTGTCACTGTCAAAAAATTACCAGAGGAAAGCTAAGTTAAAAAATGAGCTTTGCATTTAGTCCAAGCCCTAGTATGAACTAGGCATCATTATCATCTTTTGCAGAAGTGCTTGCTGAAATTTGCATCCATTTCCTGGTAATACTGTATATTTCTTTTGCTAATGAGTCTTCCATGTTCCTTACCAACTCAATTATTCTTGTCAAGCATGGTTGTCACAAGAGGTCACATTTTCTAAAAGGTTCTTCTTGTTAGTTTGGTCAATGTCATGGAGGACTTGGAATAGTCTAAGAAAGAACTTAAAGTGTTTGGTGAGAGTGGGAGGTAGAAACCTGCAGAATTTTTTTAATTGTTTACAGCAAAATTGTGCCGCTGAGCAGATGGGCTATTTCTGTTCACATTAAGAGGAACCTTCCCAGGATTTTTGGTGTTAGCCCTTGTTACAGCTCACAGTGTTAAAATTGCCTAGGAATCTCAGGGGCATTGCAAGGAGCAATAGGCTGAAACATGAGTGCTTGTCCAAGCAGAGGCAGACATGTGCCATATCTGCTTGGCCATCTGTTGCCAACATGGAATCTGCAAAGAGCAGAACAAATATGTCTGAGGAATAAACACCTGTTGGTAATGGAGGGTGTATTATAAAGTGTAAATTGCCCATCCATGTCAGGTTCAGCTCCACTCGACTACTGGTCGTCTATATGGTGAGACAGGGAGAAAATGTGGAAAATGTTTTTGTTTTTGCTAAGGGAGAAGTAGAGCATCATTCAAGTATTACTGGTGCTGAAGCTCAAATTTTGAGGGGTCATGAATAGGAATTTACTGAAAATAAGCAAGTCCTGTAAGATGAGGGAGCTTTGTTTATGTCTGAAGAAGGTGAGGTTGTAACTGAGCACAGTGCTCAGGGCTTGGTCAGAGTAGGAGAAACAGCCACTGAAGAGCATTCCTCTTTCCACACAGCCCTTTAGAGGTGGGATGTTTCAGGGCTCCAGAAGCAAGAGCAATACCTGTAAGCACCTATAGCACAAGACACCAAAGCAGTGCTGATGGGAGACTGGATGATGGGGTTGAATAGAAGGAGGCACTTCAGAAAAGTGCAGGGTACCCAAGTGAAGAGAGACAGACACCCTAGCAAGAGTAGTTGTCTTTCTACCTGACTTCTGGTCTGATGTTTGCCCATGTGGGAAGTGAGATGATGATAGCTGATGGATGGAGGGCAACTTTGTATTTTGTTAGGTTTCTCAATAGCTTCTTTCACAGCAGGTTGTAGGTAATACTTTATGACATTGCTAATGCAGAGTGGTAGTTTCTATAACTGCCATATATTTCACAATGGGAGTAGATTTTTCTGAATACAGCTTTATGCACATACCTCATTACTTGACAGAAACTCTAAGGAAAGCAGAAAGAAACAATGGGGTTTTTATATCAGCAGAGGCAGAAAAGGAAAAGCTCTATGAAGTCTGTATTTTTTTCATCTCTACTAGACAGTCCTTCATTCAACAGAGACAGCAGGAAATAAAACAGTAGAGCAAAGACTTTCCTGTGAGAATTTTTCTGGCAGGTGAAAAATCTGATCACTGCATGCTCTGAGTGATCCATAAAAAAAATAAATTAAGAGAGAGAGAAAATCAACACATTTGAGTTAGGTAAAGACTAAAGAAGTTGAATAATATTGACCCAGTGTAAGGATTAAGTGTCTGAGGTGGGATGATCCAATGAAATTATGAGATGGCAAATTTAAAGTAAATCAGAGAAAATGACTTTTCAAACAACATGCATTAAACCACAGAGTTGGTTGCCAAAATATTTCTAAGCTCATCAGGCTTCAAAAGTGCACCAGACATATATGTGAACAACAGAAGTTACAGTAAATAATAAGAGTAAACAAAACCAACGCTTTTTATACAACCCTCCATGTTTCAGTACAAAACTGCCTGATTCTAATGAAGGACTATTCAAAGATGTGGACAAAATATCCCTTCAGAAGCTCCTGAAAGGCTCTGTGCACTTTTCTGTGAGATACCTGGTAATCATTTTTGCCCAAGACAAGATACAGGACTGGAAGAATCACTGGCTTGATTTCTCCATTCCTGTTTTCCTAAATGTGGGAGGCAAACAGACAGCTTAGTGTCTTCATATTTACAGTTCTTTGTCTCTCTGCTTCATCCATCATTTATTCAGCTGTTCATGTTCCATATGTTACCATACTGGAAAAGCAAGGTACATTAACTCAGACTCAGAACAGTTTCATTATTACCTGACTTTCATCCCAGCCAGTAATAAATATATGATAACTTAGAAAATCATTTTTCCACTCTTCAGCCATTTTTGTTTCCAAATGGAACAGAAGATCAGCAAACCACTCAAATGCTGATGGGTCTCGACAAATCCAGTAAAAATAAACCTGTCAGATAAAAGTAAAGAGATTTAACAAGAAGCAAACTTTCAATAAAACTTCCTAATGACTGGCTCACACTTAACCATATAGTGTGTGACTCTTCTCCACAGTAAATTTAAACATAATTACACATAATTTGGATGAGGTAGTTCCTATCTTTTAACCATTTCATTTTCATCTTAAACAATAAGTGAATGCATTACTATGCTAGTGAAGAGAGGCAATGGACAAGTTTCCCATAGCCCCCTACCAGTGCATTTGATTTATAACGTATAAGTTTTGCCTTATAATACCTAGCCCTGCATTTCTTACAAATAACTTGATGATTATTTGAAATTTTGGATTTATTTAGTTTCAGTTTCATTCAGCACTGAAGTAAGGAATTCCTATTTCTCAAGATCTTATGTCATAAGTTAACAGTTGATGTGGTCAAGATAGTTATGTTCTTCAATTCAGATACCCTGTATAAAACAAGCAACAGAATGTCTTTACTCCTTTTTTTAAAAAAACATTTTTCATGTTTAAATTGGAGCATATAGTTCCTAGAGAAACATGAAACTGTAATTTTAAAGTTGCCAAAGGGGTAAAATGAACCACTATCCCATGATCAGTTTTCTATTGGTTGAAAACCTCCTATCTATGAAAAACTGACACAGTTTTTCTCATCCAGATTTCTCTAGTTTTACTTTTCATCGTGTTTATTTGTCTATTGGATTGAAGAGTCTGTTATTAAAGTTTTGTTCCCCAGGTAGAAATTAGAGGCTGGGATCAAGTCATCCTATAATCCTCTCTATGGCAAACCAAACATTCCTGGGATCTCTCACTGAGAGGCATCCGTTAATTATTCCTATGGTTTATTTCTGTCTACTCCTACTCTACTACAGTCATTAAAGCACCAAAAAAAGAAAAGGCAAAAAAGAGCAGAAACAAAAGCTAATTTATTAGTATCTTGACATAAGGTAATGCTTGCATAGGGAATAAAATCTTTCAAATGAGATGGTTAGTCACTGTCCATGTGATAATTAGATTTTCTGTTTCAAGAGTACTTCCTGTGGCATCTTCAGCTGGGACAGTGAGACTACACAAGGACCTTTTTCTACTCAGTGTTTAGAGCTAGCTGGTCCAGAGGTCATTGTGACCGCTCCACCAGGTGCATAATCTGCTGTGATCTATTGTCTTAACTGTATACGAGGCATCTTCTAACCACTTAGCTATGTATAAAAGTTTGTCCTGTGTCACCACGTCTGCAGGAGTGGTTTCTGATGACCATTTGCAAATGTCTTATCTGTGTACAGCTTAATAAATTTTACAACAGGAATGGCCTGAAGAGCCTCAGGACTGCTGAGATTCCTCACTCAGGATGTTATCAATGCACCGAGACTCAGGCCCTCCTTGGCCCAACAGGAATTACCTTTAGGGGGTCTTCAGCACAGTTATAACTTCCCACCTAGAAATCTCCTCTGGCTATGCTGTGCTGTGGAGTGGACTAAGACCAGTCCATCCTCTGGTTTCAGCTCAGTCTCTTGTAAGCCAGTCCAGCTATGGAGATGACTCAACTGAGAGTTCTTGCACTATACAGAGGATCAATATCTGAAGTTTCCATGTTGTCTGCCCAGGTGCTACTATGATGCCAGTCTGAACCACAATTCTAAGACAAATCTGATTGCAATTCTTTTTACTTAAATTGTGTGCGCCATACAATCCACCATTACTTTTGGCCAGGGGGTGCCAGACCTCAAATAGGCCTCTGCAGGCAATGCAATTTTGAGTGGAATTATTTTTATAGTATATCCAAAGAAACAATTCACAACCATGGAGGAAGTCTAAAACCCACAATTTCAGATGAAAAAGGAATGGCATGAAGGACAATGTATAAGCTTATAAAAAATGGATGATTGGAACTTGTTTTATTGTGACTGTGATTTTTATTTTGTTGCAAAATCTCTTAGCTTCCTCCAGCCTATCTCTCTTTGTGCTCACCAGCCCCTCTGTCTTTTATTGTAACACAGTATCAAAGGTGATCTGGAAGGTATGTCCCCAAGGCAATCACTGTGGTGGCTCTGCTGTTTTGAAAATTGTATCCCTTTTCACATGACCAACAAGATAAAAACGCTTATTGGGCACTTCTGAAGTGAAAAACCAGTGAAAGAAACCAAAAAGCTATAAAGAGATTTCCCGAAGATTTAATATACTAGGTTGTCAGACTTCTGGTAAGGTGGTGGGAGAAAAATGTGGTAATATCATGCTTCAGTGGAGATTTGGTGAAAGAGACTAACAGTAATTTGAGATGTTTCCTAGATCTGAGTGTACTGTAAGGGACCATCTGTGGTTTCTGTAAGAAATATAAATGATGTATGATCCCAGAAACAGAGATAAAGAATTCAGGGTTAAGTAGTGTATTTTTACAGCCCAGGAATAGGACTATCTGCAGTACCAACCATCTTGGCTGTTTGCTTTTTCTCCTTCTGTTTCAATATTTTGCCTTAAATATGACCTCACTGCTTTATGGGATTGTATGTGGGGGGTGTGTTTGCTGCTGATTTACATGGGCATAGGTTATGAGGAAAAAGCAAGCCCACTGACTTTATAGCATTTCATTTTTGTGGCCAACAACAGCGTTCTTTTAAATTACTGAAACTAAGCAGGATTTATAGTGTTAACCTTTGTGTAGTTTCTTTTTGTCTGAATCCTGAAGTCACCACTTGTTCTACATCCTCAGCACCTCAAAAACCAGCCCACTGAGTGCTGTCAGTCTATATCACACCATGGCTGTTGATTTGTAGCATGACATTTCTTCCCCCAGACTCTATTTGATCATCTTATTTCTCAAGTCTTTTCAACAGTTCATTTTATGGAAATGTATATTTAGTACATATGTGTGGAGAGGAGGCATGTATTCTAAATGAATAAGGAATTGTGCATGGGATAGCAACTGGGAGCATGTGGGCAGGACTAGCTGGTGAGTTGAGACAATATGGTCTCCAAATTGGGGAACTGGTTTCTAGAGTATCAGAGTGTGGAGCTTGAAAGAGTGCTTTTAGCTGGTTGCACACCTAACTGTCGAAGTAACAGACAGTTCAACCAAATTTGGTCAAACCCCCTCTGGCACAGTCCTATCAAGAAACAATATAGCTTTCTGAATATACAGACATTCCTTAACCCTGGTGTGGTTCCGCTGAAGTGGTACCCATTGCATTGTCTCTGATTTTCACATGTTAGAGGTGGAGACCATTTGGTAATGAAGAAAGACTGTCATTATAAGAAGTATTTTTGGGCATGATTACAATCTTAGAAAGAAAAGAGGTAGTGAAGAAGGATGGCCTGTGGGTAAAAGGGATTTGTTTCCCTTAGATCAAAGAGGACTTCTAGTATAATATGTTAAAATAAATGGTGTTTACAAAGAAGTCTTCCTTTCTTTACACTGACTGCCCATAACATAGCACAACGTATTACATGTATAATTAAAATACAATAAATGCACAATAAAATTAATCCTTATTAAAACAGTAGAATGAAGCCAGCATCAGTGCATTTCTATAATTAAACAATTACCCTGAATCCTGTTTTTTTTCTTGTAAGCCTCATACTATTAACTGACTGCAATTATTTAGGACCCTTAAAAATCTGGTTTAAATTTATGTTTCATTAGTGTCCACCCACCCTACCCCCATCAACTGCATTCATCAGCTTGATGGCTTGCCCAAGTAAACTGTCTTAAATTTTCCAAGTGCTCTTTTTGCAAATTGAGTTAGATGCAGTGTTGCTATTAATCAGATCTGTAATGCAGGGGTTTGAGTAGTCACATTTCTGTAATGCTCTGCTCCCTTGCAATGCATACATATTTATCCTTCAGTTTCCCACATCCTGAATTGTATGCAACAAACAAGAGCAAGATCTCTGATACCCCTTTTTTGTAAGGTGAAAGAACATACTTTGTAAATCAGCTTCCATCGTGTGGAATTAGTGATTTTTCCGTCATTAATAATTATCTGTTGATGACCACCCGTCTGTTTCTCCCTGCTCCCTGAAGGCAGAGTTGGAGCTGCAGCTCTGGGCAAAGCCAGCTTTTCACCAAATGGGTGTGAAAGGTGATGGAGCAGGGGATGCCAAGGGAGGCACCCTCATCCCTGACTCTTGCTGCTCCCTCTTAGACATGACTAGTCCCTGCAAAACCCTCTTACACCCACAGCTGGGCATCTCCCAACAAACTTACAGTCCTTCCTGCTCTTGAGTATACCAGATTACCTGTGGACTGTAACATACAAAAAAATCAGAGATCTTGCTCAGAATAATTAATTGATCCAGTGGACCACTCCAGGTGAGACACAGCAGTGCCTGTGGCGTGGGGCATGCAAGGGATGGGTGTTTGCCAGCTCGCATGAGGCACTGACTTAGTTGCTAGGATGGCAGCCAGCAGCCTTTTGTATAAATGCATGACAAGGCTCAAATTGGTATTCCTGAATTTGAAGCAAGAAGCCTAAACTGTTTTCCAACACAACTCAGAAAGATGGTTATGTTTGACAGCAGAAAGAGCCCAGGTTTTTAGGTCTTCAGGAGAAGATTTTTGTGATGACTGTGGGTTGGGGTAGAGCCTGAAGCTTTACCTCAGGCAGGGCAGTTGGTCTCAAAGCAAATGGAAGAGGCTGGGTTTGTTTTCTTCACAGTATGTAGCTGAACTTACTGCCAAAACATGCTGTGGTTGTCTAAGGTCTAAATGGAGTCAAAAAGCAGTTAGACAAATTAATGGAAGAAAAATCTATGAAGAGATATTAAAAACAGAGTTACAGCTGTTGTATCAAGGCATTACTGAACTACAAGCCAATCAAAGGTGAGAAATTGTCTGCTAAAAACTTATCACCATATGATTTTTCTGTTCTCTATATTTTTCTCTAGGTGTTCATGAAGAGCCACTGTTGGAGACAGGATACATGGCTAGATAGATCTTTGGTGAATACTCAGTAGGACATTTCTGAAAATATTTTGTAGGGTAAAAGAGAAAGTGGATGTTTGCTAATATTAGCATCTGATGGATCAGTACAATTTTGTCAATTTCAGCAGCCATTGATCTGAAAAATGAGACCACTAATGTGAAAAAAAATCATGTTATGCATAACTAAAGCTGGTAGAAACTTTCCAGCCATGACTAGTAGGGCTGCTCTTCCTCATTGCAAAAAATTATAGGGAAATGAGGGCTCTAAGGCTATTTAATTGTGAAGAATCAATTAGATAAATGTGTACTCCTTTTGATTTGCTGGGTTTTTTAAATTATACAGCTGCAGACATTATGGAAGCTGTGAGTATTTATATCTCAACCGTATGTGGGCAACACTAAGAAATATTAGTTCAATAAGCGTAATGATAGCTGTGCTCAAATCAAAATGAAGTTGTTAAAGAAAGAAAAACCTCTTATTTATTTCCTTAATAGACATTTCTATGGTACTCATCATGGCAGAAAGAGAGTGCTGAATACTTTGAGGAAGATTAAATTATTTGTAATTATACCACAAGTGGAAGCTTTTAACCAATGGAAAAAAAATGTGGAGCTACCCTGAGATTAATCGCTCTCACTAAGATGACTGCTAAAATTTTTTAAGTAGTGCTGTGAACTTCCCCAGGACCTTTCATCCATGCTTTCAGAATATTTTACAAGCACTGATGAAATTTAGCCTCATAACACCTGTGAGAAATAAGCATCTCTATTCCCACTGCACCAATAAGGAAGCCAAGATATAGAGAAAAGATATGTAGAAATCATGATAATTTTCACAGGAATTCAGTAAAACCAAGCTCTATAGCAGAAAACCATGGCAGAATGCACCATGCACTTATCTTTTCAGGCACACTTACCCAAGATTCTCCCTAAGCTATGAATGAACACCCTCAGGTATACTATCAATGCATAGTTAAATTCTGTTCTTTTCCCCTTAAGATAACAATAGCAATGATGATAATAATGATTTTACTTGTATACATGTGGAATATATATAATATGCATATATAAAGTGTATATACATATGCATAGCTCTCCTTCCAGTGGAAAAAAGCATTCTGGTACAATCGTAGGGTTTGCAAATATGCTTCTTTTTGCATGTAGCACATATTTCCATTTTTATTTCCCTCCCTTCTCAGTGCTTTTTCTGCCTCAAAGATCCCCCCTGGCAATTTGAACCTGTCCTCAACTCCTCAGTTACTAAAATCCCAGATGCTTTTTCAGTGGCAGCTTGT